CATTTCCTGGTTAGCTATCATGTGCTTGAATAGTCTATGTACACAGTGGAGGACCTAGGGAGGGGCCTAGGGGGGCAAGTGCCCCGCTTCCGACCATGAAGTTTAGTATTAGTACTTAATAAAAAGTATACCCCTGCTATCTGGACAAACAATTAGAGTATTTTTCATAAATATTCGACTAATGAAAAGAATCATGTTCACTAAAATTGCTATGGTAGTACCTAAGTCATATTTTTGTTCACTATATTTATTTCAATCATATTGTCATTATTTCAAAAAATTATTAGATAGATATATAGGACTCTGTCAAAGATATATAATAATTGTAGTAAAAAATATAAACAACTCTGAAGTTGTGATGGAGCAAATTCTTAAAGTTCAAAGATATGCCAAAGGTTCTAATATGCGGGATAAACTTAATAGATTGAAGACTTTTATCTTGAATAAAAGTCCATACATGAAAAAATGTGTCAATTCGCGAGAAATTAGTTTCAAACCGACAAACCCTTTAATTTTTTTTCTATAATATGATACTCAAAAAAGGTAGATATATAGGATCATATTATTAAATAAAATTGTATTAAATGATGAAATCCTAAACTTGACTTATACTTCATTTTTAACATGATATTATTATATTTCAGACAAGTACCAACAAATTTTGTGACATAATGTACAACAACGACATGATCCTAATTCAAATATGAAATCTTGATCATTTAATAGTATGAAAAATAGTGAAAATTCTAATGTAAAATCAGAAACGGCGCAAAGATGAGTCATATCTAATCCGCCAAATTATGTCTTTCTTTCAAAAAGTCAAATACTATTGTTTAGAATTGTCTTAATGAGTTCAAAATTAGACTTATAATCCATATATGTTCATTGCTTGACGTCGGCATTGAATAATCTATTTCAAGTTTAAAATATTAATTTGAGCGCATTTGACAAAAAAGACCAATAATACACCCAATTCGACCCGACCCATTTTCATCTATGTGGGAGTGCCTCTGCTTCGGAAAACTTCTGGATTCGCCAATGTATGTACATGTACCACTAAGTTATCTTATTCCCACTTTTCTTTTGTAGTGATATCCGTCTTGTAGTGGCAATGGTTTTGTGGAGGCATGCAACTTATTGTTCACGTAATTGCATGTAGTCCAATACAACTACAGGCAACTAAATCAGGAGGCAATAAGGGAGGTTGAAGTCAAGTAAGATTATTGTGATTTCATGGTATATGGAGATAATAATTAAGCTGTGTCAACTTACTATGGACAGGAACGGATTTAAAGGGGGCGCGGGGGGCGACCGCTCCCCTTGGACTTTCAAAATTTTCTACTATATATTTAGTATTTTCATAAAATTTTCATACTTTAATTAGGTATATATTTTTTCGCCCCCCTTAACTTTTAGTTTTCAAAGTTAATATAGAGTCTTACATAATGTAATACTTAATTGGAGATTTAAAAGAAGTAAAATCTAAAATAATTTAGATAGTTTAAGACTTAGGACACCTATTTTATAAAAATTCATAGCTCAGTAATATTTAAATATCTTTATTAGATAATTAGTACTAAATTTTGTAAAAGATCAAACGATATTAAATACAGACACACTAGTTAAACAGTTTTAGATCATGCTAAGTGAATCTAAAATATAAATGTTTGTTGACATTAAATTATACAATTAACTTATTTCTTACTTTCTAAAAGCAATTTATTGCATATATAGTAAACTTTAACGTATTTTAGCATTAATACAAATATAATGTGCACCATATATATGAATTAACAATACTACATATAATATTATTTTAAAAATAATAATATCATATATACTATTGTAATACAGAGTATCAAGAAAACTTCTCGTGACCTATGAATACCCTCCTTGGTAGACAAAAACTACAATTCAAAAATCAATTCTTTATTCTGATAAGATTTATGTGGTTAAACAAGGCATAATAAGTTATTTAAAATATCGTTAAAAAAAACTTAGAATATACTACGTAATAGATTTAAATGTTATCGTGTATGTACTAATGAAGTTTTTTTAAATAAAAATTAGCGACAGAGCCCTACAATAGTGAAAAAATTTCGTTCCACTACCACTAGCGATCCCCCCCCCCCCCCCCCCCCCACTACACTAGCGATTTTTGTTCCCTCTACACTAGCGAAAAAAATTTCGCTCCCTACACTAAGCTAATGAAAAATTTTCGCCCCCCTTGACTCGAAATCCTGGATCCGTCCCTGACTATGGATCCAATGCACTCCAAAATGGAGACAGAAATCAAGCAAAGTTCAAGCTTCAATGTGCTTGCTTAGTATTGAAACTGCACCCTATGATGGTAAGCTATATGAATTGTATATATGGAATGCACTAGCTTAAATAGTGGTAATTGCATGGTTGATCATGTTTGTTAATTGCATGTCAGCATATGTGAACAAGTTAATAAATGTGTCAAGTGATATCTGATATACTGGTATCTTGCATGGGAATTTTTTGCCACATTAGATGTAATCTTTTATATTTTCTGAAGGGAAAACTGTCAAAAGGTTCTCGGACTTTCCTAAAAAGGTCAAATAAGTCCTGATATAGGAGGCTCTGTCCGGCCGTCGCGATTTGGGGTGGTTCCCGGTGGAATTTTTTGATGAAATTTTTTGAGCATCTTATTCATCAAGTCTAATTTAATCATACCAAATTTAAGTTAAAACTTCAATCAGGAACGCATTCAAATTAATTCTTGAAAATAACTATGCAGTTAAATGCGCATTTATCTTCAAGAATTAATTTGAATGCGTTCCCGATTGAAGTTTTAACTAAAATTTGGTATTAGTAAACTAGACTTGATGAATAAGATGCTTAAAAACTTTCATAAAATAATTCCACCGGAAACCGCCCCAAATCGCGACGGCCGGACAGAGCCTCCTATATAAGGACTTATTTGACCTTTTTATGAAAGTTCGAGAACCTATTTGACAGTTTTCCTTTTCTGAACAAAGAATACAACTTTTAAAATGATTTTAAAGTGACACAACAAGGCAAATCTTTTTAATTTAAGGAAATTGTTCAAAATATGAGTAAAACATGAACAAAGGATGTTTTTACTTAAGCTGTAATTTGTTGGTCTGATCTGGCCTGGTCTAAACTGAACAGGGACATATTACAATCCAAGTAAAAACATCCAAAGTTATAAAGTCCAAATAAGTATATAGCCGGGAAATCCTTCTCATAGTCCGGATTGAGGGGAAACGTTGCAAAAGGGGGCTGTTAACTACAAGCTATCAGCGCTGGATAGGTGAACCGTGAACTCCACTCCCATTTGGACCCTATTTTTATAATTTTCTTCTAAAAATAAATCTTTTATTGGGATATTTCTCTACTATAACTTACTTATAAGTCATAGTTAAATCACTCACCGTTGACCAGCTTAAAGCAATCAACTTGTTTTGTAAATGGCATATATCTACAAGCAAAAACTGCTTTGGACATGAAAGTTTGTCACAAATTTAATTTGGTCCATATTTATGAGTTGTCAAAGACCAAATCCGAATCCTTTAGGTGGTTAGAAATGTCGTCACATATTCATCTGTGGAGACTTTTGTCACGAAATTTCTGCACCTAATTTATGACCCATCAAGTGATCAAGTGCATCACTCTTGCGACATCATAAAATCGATACAAATATTTTGGCACGGAAAGAATTTGTGACAAAGTTTACATTTGATTCTGTAATGGAATATATCCGCTACAAAACTAACTGTTTTGGCTTTTGCATTTGACACAAAAAATTCCAAGACAAAATACAGTCATTGAAAATCCGTGAAATAAAATTCAAGACTCGTCTCATTTCTCTACTGCGCTACCGGTGAGACAAATTAAAATGTGTGTATTAATTACTATATATGATAACTCTGTTACATACATTCAAACCATCCAAGTATTTAGTTAACTGGAAACCACAAAGATGGCCTTGGAATTTTCTTTGCAATTATGATCAGTTGCAGACACATGCAAACCACATATATGCATGCACGTATACAAATTTCAATGACTTCTTAATATAGTATACTTAATCCATCCTTATCATGGGAGTACCACACCGGTAGGTCTGGAAGCAAGAATCGCCCACCTGGACAGTGAACTGGTGCAGAGGCCTAGCAAGAAAAGGAGGCAAACTGACTAGCATGTCACAAACGCACTGGTCATCCACCTCCTTCAACCATCTGCAGCAAATCTCTTCCTCCGGGGAATGGTGGTGGTGGCCGTGATGTGGCCTGCGGTGGTGGCGGTGTTGCCCCCCGGCAGAACCAGGCGGAGGGCTAGGGTTGATGATCAGAAAAGAGCAGGCATGGTTGACCAGAGTGATCTGGGATGCACAAACTGCGCTGACCGGCTTTCTACTCCAATGGCTCTCTGTTATGGCCACGAGAGAATGGAGGAGGAGGAACACAACAGAGAAGATCAATGCTGCTGCTTTCATACTCGTTAATTTCTTGTTGTATATTCCTGATAATGGTGGGGCTTTCCAGTGGAGCAGTTTATTTTCTTGGCAAGTATATATATCTATAAACCTAGTGTTGGATGAGTTTAGGATTAAGGTGGATGAGTTTATCTGGTTTAAGGATTGTTTGCATGGTTGAACAAATTATGGGTACAGCTTATGAATCACTGATTTGTTATTTATTATTAGGTTAGTGGTAGGGACAACTCATATGTTTTGCATGAATATCTTATTGGTTTAGGGTTTAAGCATCCATACATTTTACAACAGAGCCTTGATAATCGGTGACCTTCAACAACTAAAACCCAGAGCTAGAGAGTATCATCATTCATTGCAGAAAACATTACAATTTGGCCTACAATGATGCAAGAATGGAAATGCTTTTAACTCAATTAAGGTAACATTTAAATTAATATATATCAAACAAAACTCAGAGTCGGAACTTACCTCACATGTTTTAAATTATGAGCATGGCCGTTTAATTATTATTATTTCAAGGAATTATATAAGTAGAACCAAATTAATAAAATAAGTCACTCAGAGAACATAAAAAATAAAAATGAAGTAGCTGCTGGTCAGCAGATATTGGTTAGCAAAGACTTCAAAGGTATATTTTGCAAATGCAAAAGTATAGAAAATGAAAGACCAAAGCATCCACCAACATATTCAAAGCAAGGTAAGTGAAACTCGTCCAACACATACAAAATCTAAAATTGAGCTTAGAGACAAGATTGAGGACGACTTTAAACTTGAGAATGTAGAGTTTAGCACCAGTTGCTTCTAACCAACCTTTAACACGGAGTACATTACAAACACTAGCCAATCAGTTTCTGGGTTTCTTTTGCAAGGCAGAGTCCCCGCCCAGCTCAGGTTTCCTCTTTATGCCCAAAAAGTGTTCAACCTGTATTGTTAAACAACAAAAACTATAACTCAGATATGAACACGGGTAAACCCAAACTGAATAATGACCACGGGTAAACTGTTTTACACGAATCACAAACAACTTGTTAGTAGAGAATAGCAAAAACAGGGCCAATTCAGAATTACCTTTTTATCACCAAGCATGGGTGTTAAACTTCCAGGAAAGTCCTTCTCAACAGTTGCAAAACCACTTCTGGGATCACTAGTTTGCCTGGAAGCAAATAAAAACCATAATATATTCATTTAGGATAAAAAGAGAGATACAGAATCATATTTTATTAATAAACTTATAAACATACACAATTATAAAAAAAATTAACTAGACCAGTCATTCAACTATCCAGAGCAGAGGCTCAATAAAATATTATTTGAGATCATTTTAGGAGACAGGTTAAAACAAAACCAAAGCTTAAGATTGATAGTGTTCAGCTTTGTTAGCTCATCAGCTAACTCCTTCTCACTAAAATTGATTATTTCAATAAACTTATATTTTGGTAGTGAATATGTTACATTTATCCAAACACAACTGATTTCTCGATAAAGTTAAGAGTACCACTTAATAATTCATATTTATCCAGCTCGTTTAGGCTTGAATAAGCTTGTATGTCAAGCATGAACAGGAGTATGAGCTGAGCAAATGATATGAAGCAGAATCTGGGCTTGGAAGAAGAGGGGAAGAAGCCCCTGTCGGTTTACTCCAGTCGGGAACGGGCTTGAGCCCACCTTTGTGGGCTGGCTGCGGGCAATTTAATTAATTTTAATTATTCCTTTTATTTTATTTCCTAATTTTATTTGTTTCCTAGTAGGATTTATTTAGTGATAGGAACCCGGGCCTAATAGACTAATAACAATAAAATGGGACCGGGACTATTAGAGTATTAATAATAATAATAAGTGTATTAGTTTAGTATAAATAGAAGATAGCAGGGAGGAGTTGGGAAGGCTGTTTTGGACTTTGTCTTTGGGATTTGGGAAGATTGAGATCATTCTCTCTCTTTTGGGGGGCTTCGGCTCATTGGGGGGCTTCGGCCTTGGTTACCGATACTATTCATCTTCTTCATCAATTCAGTTTTCCAGTTTGTTTCTTGATATTTCTGTATATTTTCTGGGGTCCCTATCATTGGTATCAGAGCTCGTCGTTCGCTGGATGAATTACACGCTCGCAAGGATGGAAAGACGAATCAACGAAGTTGAGGAAAATTTGGTAGAATTTGGAAGGAATATGGATAGAAGTCTACGGAAGTTCCAGACGGATATGGAGGCGAATCTGGCTGCGATGGAAGCCGCGATACAAGCTAGCATCGCAGATGTGCAGAACAGACTTAAAAGTCGTTCGCGACATACATCGCACCATTCGCACCGATCTTCCCACCGCTCATCCCACCCTAGCTCTTCGCATCGCTCCTCTCCTCACTCGTCGCAGAAGGAGTCGCCGATGAAATCGCGACCTACTTCTCACTCGCAGAAGGAGTCGCGTCATCGACATAAGCAAAAATCGACTAACTCAGAGGCATCGGAAGACCGATCGAGGAATCGATCGCACACCTCGCATCGATTTCCGCATCAGGGAGAGGTTGACAACATCGCACTTCCAACAAGGAGCCATAGGCATCATTCATCGCAGTCGCAAGATACTTATTCCGGTCCTCTGGCTTCAATTGGAGTAGAAAACCCTAGTTCAAAATCTCTAGCTGAGTTTCCAGTGTCGCAGCAGGAGTTGACTATTCAGCAGCACACCTATGGAGAAGAGGAACACAATGAGAAGCCATCAGTTGTTGGATTCCCCAGACGTAAGATTTTTTCCAAGAACGATCTGGATCAGTCAGACCTTGAAACCAATAGGTTCAAGCTTCTTCAGGTAGATGACATTTCTTCTCATCCTATGCAGCAGATGAAATGGAAAAATATCAGGAAGACTGAAATTATGTGTTGTCAGTCATTGGACAATACACTGGAAAGATTAAATAAGTTTGATATTCCTAGATTGGAAGGGGTTACTTTTATGAAAAATATACAAAAGAAATTGGTGAATTATATGTCCATGAAGAAGTATACAATTTTGGTTGGCTGGAAGAAGTATACAGGTTACGAAGCAAGAATTAGTGCTCTAGATATAGTGGTGGAGGTAAATGAGAGGGCAGATCAAGGAATGACAGATTCCACAGACATGTTGTTACACCACTGTGTAATTTCCACAAACCATGGAGATTGGGAAATAGCTAGAAGATTGTGTGAAGGAGAGTTCACATGTGTGGAAACAGACTGCTTATTATTTTCCTTGGAAGAAAAATATCACAACAAGGGGTATATTCATAGCAGTTTGGGAAGTGGTGTGTCTGTACGTTATATAGGACATTTGACTGAAATTCCTCCCAAAAGCAAAGATACTGGATTGAAATGGACAGAGAAGTTGGCTTTTGGTAGCATTGTAGAGGGAAAAGTTCCTATGACTACCCTACTTAGAGGCTCACCCAAATGTTTGACTAAAGTTGATGATGATTGTAAGTCCTACTACCCATTAGGCAAAGAATATCTGGCAGAATTTCCTTGTGACAGATTGTTATCCACATTCAAAATAGGAGTAGGTTCTGTACCATTCATGTCATTGTGGGCACCTATCAGTTCCAGGTCACAGGATTCTTATTTGGAAGCTTCAGTTATTACCTCTGAAATTGTTGTTCCTTCTGTTCTTCTTATCAGTCCCAGTGAAGCAACTGAAAACCGAGGACTTGCATTATACTCTGAAGCAAGAGCTACTAGCAAATGGAAGATTGAGCAGAAGGTGATGAATGAAGATCAGTACCAGCAGGAACAGAAGCACCTGAATAGTATGGATGCTTTGAAGGGAGAAGATCTAGTGCTGTTTTTGCTAGAAGTGAGGATGAAGATTCACCAATGGAAACTCCTTGACCAACCTACAGTCATGTATTGGGAAGGAAGAGGAGCAAGGAAGAAGAAGAAGAAGCAGAAGATTGTGGCTTTCTCCTATTACCCACCTTGAGGACAAGGTGGATGTTTTGGGGGGAAGTATTGATAGGAACCCGGGCCTAATAGACTAATAACAATAAAATGGGACCGGGACTATTAGAGTATTAATAATAATAATAAGTGTATTAGTTTAGTATAAATAGAAGATAGCAGGGAGGAGTTGGGAAGGCTGTTTTGGACTTTGTCTTTGGGATTTGGGAAGATTGAGATCATTCTCTCTCTTTTGGGGGGCTTCGGCTCATTGGGGGGCTTCGGCCTTGGTTACCGATACTATTCATCTTCTTCATCAATTCAGTTTTCCAGTTTGTTTCTTGATATTTCTGTATATTTTCTGGGGTCCCTATCATTTAGGACTTCTATTCTTATTAGAATTAGAGGTTTCCTATTTCTATTTAGTTTCCTATAATGATTTAATTAGGAGTTCTATTAGAACTAGAGGTTTCCTATTCTATTTAGTTTCCTAGAATAATTTAATAAGGATTCCTATTCTTATTAGACCTAGAGGGTCATTTATACCTCTTGTATGCTTCATTCTTGATCATCTTGGAATAAAATTGGTTTTAGCCTTTTGGCTCTGGGCAACGGTATTTTTACCGTTGATTATCGGGCAACGGTTCACCCCGTTGATTTTATTTTTTCTGCTTCACAACAGCAAAACTACTAGTGGACTATCTGACATCAAGTTCTTAGTACTCGCATTCCATTTCTATTTTGTAGACCGAGCTTGGGTACCAAGTCCAAGCCGAACTAAGTGCTCTTCTGTTCAGCTAATGGGCCTAGTTATGCTTTTAAACTATACTAATATAAATTATACTACGTATAAATTATATACTACGTATATACGAAATATACCTTTTTGAATATAAATTAAAACATGGGTGGTTAAAAAATTAATGTTTATTACTCCGTATTATTTTGTGTATATTAGAGTAAATGAAAAATAAGAAAATAGCTGGGCTTAATTAACCCGAGCTTGAAGAATTCGGAATTCGTGCCAAGTCGAGTTTCATGCTTTTTTGGGCTCAACTACCCCAATCGCTTGATCACACCTCTAAAGTCCCAAATATCAAAGAGACAAAGTATAACATAACTACTGGATTATAGGTGAGAGGAGAAAACATACCCGGGTTTAACATTTCCACTTAGGACCAAATAAGGTGTCTTTAGCTTTTCTTGAGCTTCCCTCATTCTCTCCACCGACTGCGATGGTGTGTCTGAATTTTTCATTTGTTTAATCTTTAGCTCCTCTAGATATTGTCGCATGCGTTTTTCTTGTTTTGATTTGCCAGGTCCCTTTCCATGAAATTTATGGGACAACTGTCGAAATGCCTCTTTTGGAGTTAACTAGTAGTAACAAACCCACAAAAATATTATTAGATGAATATAAAATAGATAAATTGTTAAACTAATTAATAATTCTTATGTCCCAAACAATTAAGAATGTGAAATGATGTTGAGATTCATTTAGATATGAAATAAACAATATGAATCACTATTCTTACTTTTAATTTTAAAGGAAAATGGGAAAAACATTTTGGGATAGCCAAAAAAGAAGTGGGAACATTATGGGACAAGTATTGAAATATGCACAAGTATTAAAAAAGAACTAGTTGAGCAAAAGAACTTACAATTCGACCATACTCATCAGTCCTTTCAATGTGTATCTCTTTAGGCCCCTCCTCATCAATAATACCGGCAAGCTTACTTTTCTTCTTGTCCATGTTTCGACCACCCCATTCGATTGTTTCCTTGAGTGATCCTCGATCTTTTAGGAGTTTGAGAGCTCCAGATAACCCCTTCCCGACAGCGGCTTCGTGTATTGTGTCATCTGGAACTGTCTTCTCTTCATCCTCTTTCTGTAAGTCTGTTTCTTTTTCTGTGACTTCTTTCACCTCAGACCAGCCACCGTCCTCAGCTATAGATGCTTTGTCCAGAGAATTGGGTATAACATCTTCTTCCATGAAAACATCCTCATCACCAGGTTTATTTGAATCTTCAACAATAAAGTTAAAATTAGATAACAGAGTACAAGTATATCTACAAACAGTACAACAATATAAGCAGAAAACTGGGTAAAATTAGATGCAGCGTACTGTATGGAAACCAGGAGTAAACATGATGGAACATGGAGAGACTAGGGTTCAATTGGATTGCAGAAAACTGTAGGGATAGAAAAATAGAGAGATACTCAGGAAGGAAATATTTTTTTGTAGAAAATCAAGAGGGTCACAACAATTAGTTGTTCTAAAAAAATATTTGTTCAAACCCTTTTCATTTTTTTTATTTTATTATATAAAAAAAAGTGAAACCTGAATATCTAAAAGAAATTAGAACATTAATCATATTTCAATTTTCCAAGGCTATGCCAAAAATAGGAAAATTGCTTTCCTCTACAATCATCTTTTTTTCCTAACATTTCCATGATCCAGGCGTACTCTAAAGCTGCATCTCTACGTTCGCATGAAATTGTATTAATTAAACATTTTTCATCTAGAAACCCGCAATCTAGCAGGAAGCATAAGAAACAAAAATATTTCTCACACTAAACCTTTCCAACCTAACTTCACTCATGATAAGAAAGAGAGATTGATATCAGCTGTGTTGGGATATAGAGCACTCATCCTTGGGACCTTGACCGAGCTTACAGGAAAAAGTATCATCTTTGACAGAAAATCAGAAACCATAGAGAGACTCGACCTTGTCAAAGTCTATGCAATTAAGCTTGCAATTAATAATCTTATTTTTTATGAATTAAAACAATATTTCACAATGTTATTGATAAAAAGTAGATAGTGTTCTAGTTTATTACTTCCTCTATCCCAAAACTTTCTTTCCATTTTGACTTGACACGCTCCAAAGTAAAATTTTACAGTTGTGGCTGAGGATAAAAAACAAAAACAGCCACATAAATTTTTCCATAAAAATAAATGTGAAAAGAATTGTGCAGCCTCCTAAAAATGAAAATGGGAATAAAAGTATGGGACGGGGGAGTAAGAATTTTACTATAACAAATATTAACTAAAATGGAATACTAATACTACTACTAATAGGTAACTATTATTACTAATACTACAACTAATAATATTAATAATAGAAGGAAACGGCTATAGATACTACTGTAATTATGAAGACTCATATGCTGATTTGGTTTTACGGGCCTGTAAAAGAGATGAGATCACCCAACATCTATTGAACAAAAAACTAGGCTCACAGTGGACTAGACGGTAGGGTTGGGGATGGTAAAAATATGCATGATAGGTTTAGAGCAGGGTCAATTTCTAAGAAAAATAGGAAGGCAAGGAAAGCCTACCATCTTGCTGGGGATTTAAGTAATAGAAGATAAAACTGATCAGCAAACCACTATGACACATCAAGTTCTTAAGTATTAAAAGCTACTAAACATAACCATATTGAATTCAACTACCTTCATCAAGCTGAAGGCCCCAAACAAACTCTTCCATTTCTGTGAAGACAACCTTATTCTCTTGCAAGTCCCCAGATGCAGAGTCATGGTTATTATTATCTACAGTAGAATTGTTTTCATTCAAAGTGGAAGCAAGCAGAGCAATGGTCTCTGGTACAGATTTAACAGCCTCCTCTTGAGTTCTCAGAGCTAATTTTCTTGCCCTTTCCAATGATTTTCTAAGCTCCTCATCATCATCATCAAACACAATATCATCATCTTCCTCTTCCTTAGAAGTAACATTGTACTCAGGTCGAAGTGCTTTAGATGCTTCTTGAGCCTTTTCATATGCAAACTTGTATGCCTTGTCTCGCTTATCAGCCTCTGCTCTCTCATCCTCCTCCTTCAGGTGTTGCCTTGTCTTGTCATTCCGAGAACCAAGATCCGCGGAACCCAATCCAGTAGAAATAGCCTCTGCTTCAAGGGCATTTATGTCCAGCTTCTCTTTCTTTCTTAGTGATTTCTTTTTCTTGGGCTTCTTAAATTGAAGCATTTCTTCATGAGTATAATAATCTGTCAATACTCTGCTAGAAGAATTAAGATCTTCAGCATAGCTTTTTGTGGTAACCCCCTGAATTCTTCTCCGGAGCTGGTCATTGTAAACAGTGAGAGTTTATATCAACCAACAATGACACTCCATGTTAACTACATACGATCATCTACAATGTAAAATGAACAAGAAACTGATTACCTCTTCCAGTTTCTTTGCTGCATCACCACTGAAACGTCCAGTCTCATCAAGAGCCACGCTCTAAAATTAAGAATAAGCCAAGTAAAAAAGGCAATACTGGTATAACAGTATAATACAGCAACTCAATTAGCATTAATAATTTGGAAAAGAAATTTACCTCTTCCTCCATCGGATCGTCATATTGGGGAAGCATTTTCTTTTCAGAACCAGACTCATCACTACACAAATTAGAGAGCAGAAAATGTTTAGTGTCATCAGTAATATGAACACCTTGTTCTATCAGTGATTACCTTAAAACTTACATCTGATCATATATTCCTGTTTTCTTCTTTCCAGCCTTATATGCATCATCCCTCCGCTTCTGCTCTCCAATTTCGACATTTTCAAGCATATCAACCTCTGAGATCATTTATACCTTAGAATCTGATTTCACAAATCCCAAAAAGATGAAGACCCTAAGATATATGCAAGAAGGTGGGGATGTATAAACAAGAGGCCTTGACTATGTACCTTGATTTATGTCATCACCAGAAAGTATGCTCTGATCTTTGAGTGTTAAGATAACTGAACCCCCTGCAAGCACTTTGTCAAGCCCATGAAGAACCTTTGCCCCGCCCAGCTCATCTGTTAAAACGTGTTCAATGGAAAATCAGACTAATTCAATCAAATTTTAGCAGAAGAATGCAAGAAAAAGGGTAAGTTTTCATGTACAAAGCAGTATAAAACCATTCACAGCACTCTTCATTGAAAGTTAAGAACTTCATTTCATCTCTCTGAGACAAAATAGGCTTCTGTATTTAAAAAAACATGAAACAGGGAAAAAGTTTATACTATTGAGTATTGACCATTGAAGTCTTGAAGACAAGACTACAATAGTACCCAATAAATCATCAAACCATTTCATCTATCCTCCAAAATTGAAAATCAAGTAATTAGCACACAGTAAATTATGCATTTGATTAAACTGCAAAACTTTCATGGATACAGTGAGCCACTATTCACCAAAGAGGGAGAAAGAGCTATACCAGCAGATCGATGGTTTGTTTCTTCAACGTCGTCATCTTGATCAATTTTATCCTGAAGCAGTAATGCAGCAAATTGGCAATGCAAATAATAATTAGGATCCTGGTAAAAGGAATCTGTTTGTTTTTCTTAGATCAGAGGGTGTGGAGCAGTGGGAGTGGGGGGTTTTGTCAATCAATATATGGAATAGAAGAACAATATTTGAAAACAAATATCGTTTACCTGCTCTTCGAACATCTTAGAGAGCTGCAAGGCTTTAGCCTTTTCAGCCTTCTTTTTCTCCTCGATCTTGCGACTCTTATTAACCCATCCTAAAACCTCAGAGACACCTTCTGGTTTTTTCTTTAACCTCTCTTCCTTCATCCTAGGGTCAATGAGAAATTGAGAATTAAAGCTACTTTATTTACCAATACTTCAAAACAAATATTTTCATATCTAGTAAGCAATTGCAAGTATATTGATTAAAAAAAAAAAGCTATTATTGTCTTCCAGAATATATCATGTCCACTTCCATCAAACGAGAGAGGAAACGAATGCTCTGAAGCTACCATCTTTAACGTTATGGCAAAGCCAAAACACAATGAAACAGAGAGTATCCATATAACGGAAGAAGAACCTTGGACCAACAACAACATTACCCCAGTGCCGCAAAGGCTCCCACCAATGGTGGGGTAAGGGGGGTTGGATGTACACAGTCTTACCCCTGTACTAAAGCACAGAGAGACTGATTCCGGATGACCCATGATGAAAATCGCGTCGAAAATTGCATAGACTGATTGTTGCATCATAACAAAGAAGCGCAAACAGTTTAACGAGCCATTTTCTTTTATTCCATCATATTTCCGAAGCCAAAAAATAGCGAGTCTTCGGCTCTATCGGAAACGATGGAATAAAGAAGAACCTTGGACCAGTGGGAAAAAATTGTAGCCATGTGGCCGTAAGGTCATGGTTTAAGCAACAGGAAAAGCCTCTTCTAGATATAATACATAAATAAGATGCAAGGTTGCATAATGCTTATGGCATATAGCCATATATCAGAGCTTAAATACTTGTAAGGCATATTGGACTACTGGATGGTACCAGATATGAGGCAATGATAGATGGGTCCACACAACCAGTGCAGACTCATTCCCAAACAAGTCTTGTGATTCAGCTCTTTCCTACATTATATACAGGACTTCTACTTTTTCAAAAAGGTTTATATGGGTCGCATGCATCATTTAAATTTAAAAATACTAAAAAAGCATAGTCAATCCTATTTAGAACGTAAAATGGAATTTAAACATTTAAGTGCTTACTTCAAAATGCGCTCCTCCAGTTCTGAAACAGAAGCTTGCGATCCAACAGGTCCATCCCTCATAAAAGACATCCTGATATTATGATCATCAGCTAGGGCTGCCTTATCATGTTCAGAGAAGTCCCCATCATCACCATCTTTACCATTGAACCTTGACACCTCATCTTTTCCCATATCCATCCTCTTATTACGATCTTCATCGTGTAGTTTCCGAATGCTTCCATCTATGTCTCTAGACTTCTGCCTTTCATGATCCCTAGCTCTATGTTTTCCTTTTTCTTTTTCATTTGCGTCTTTACTTCTCACTCTATCATAATCCCTTCCGCTTTCCCTTTCTCTCTGTTTCTCTCTATCCTTCTCCTTTTCTCTTTCTCTATCCTTCACCCTCTCCTTGTCCCTATCTCTATCCTTGTCTTTGTCCCTGCTTTTGTCTTTTTCTCTATCTTTCATCCTCTCCTTGTCCTTGTCTTTGTCCTTTTCATGATGCCTACGATCTTTCTCTCTTCCTCTATCTCTCTCTTTGTCTTTGTGCCTGTCTCTGTCATTATCTTTTTCTCGAACCCTGTCTTTTGTATTTTCCTTTTCTGGATCATCTCTGTCTCCCTTCCTTCTTTCTCTAGTGAGCAGCCGATCTTTCAACACTTCCTTGTCCTCTTTCTCCCCATCTCTCATTTCATGACTCCTTTCAGACCTTGAGTCGGTCATGACAATATTAGGCTAACAGCACAACTATGTGCGATGCTCCCTATAATACCAAAGATGTAAGAGTAAAATGTTATCTAAAGTTCATCAACACATCAAAGTAGAGAACTAAAAGAGATGTAATAAAGGTTTTAAAATAGAGCTGTAAAATAGTAGAGATGAAAAAACAATGGAAAGCTTTACGATAAAGCAGATAAACTGCGACAATATAAGGGCTCTTTGATTTTACTATACTATATGAATGGAGTAAGGAAAATGTCAACAGCACACATACAAGACTTCAATCAAAGACGAGAACGTAAGATAGGCAGGGACTTTGATCAGTGGGAAGCAGGAAGCTTAGGATCAATCTTGTATATATTAAGTGAAGAGATTAACGGAAATAAAGAAAAAGCTTAAAGGAACTAATCTCATATGTGACCTAGTCAATAGACCCATGAATTAAATCTCCAGAAGCTACACATTTATATTAAGTAAGAACCTCCTATATAGATATTACAGTATTACACTATTCTTACAATGAAAGGGAAATATAAAATTGTGATGAAATTACAACCATACATTGTACTCAGTATATACTTAAAAAATATTGCTCAAGTGCCAAACTGTATTGTGAGTTTTCTGCTTCAAGAAGCAGGGGAAAAAACCAAAGTGCCAGATACATAATTGTGAAATTCCCATGTTTTTACCAGAAAAAATTACATGCATGCTTTATGATGGAAAACACAGTTGCAATAAATAGGGCAGGTCAACAGTAGAAAAATGTTATTTTACTCTTTCCTTTCCTTTGGTCCAACTAAAGGGGTGATGGTCTTGGATAATAATGTAGCTGAAGCTGAATAAAGAAACTCAAAAATGTATTTGGCAGAATGAGAATGATCTTGATAGACTAGGAAGTAGGAACCTGGTTATGATTCCGTGATAATAATATAATATCTCAAAATGAAAAAGAGATTAAACCCAGCAAACGTGAAGTAAAAATCAATGAAAATCATCAACAACAAAACCATCTCCTTCATCTTTATTTCTAGAGCATCACTTTACTCTTTTCATATAGTGAATGAACACCACTAATGGGGTGGAAGAGAATTGCATAGTCCTGAACCCTTGGATCATTGTTTTTACTTGGCTAAAGGGTCAAATAGGCCCTTGTACCTGTCCGGAATGCTCAATTCGCACCCTGAATTATAAAAAAGCTCAAATTCACTCCCTGAACCTGAAGAAAAAGTTCAAATCTCATATTTTGCAGGTAAACGTCCGGTCACCGCCACGTCATCCAGTCAGATGCCAACCGTGCATCCCACGTGGCAATTTAAGGGGTCAAATAGGCCCTTGAACCCGACAGAGTTGTTCAGTTTAGCCTCTCAACCGTTAAAAAAGTGTCAAATTGCTTTTAAAAAAATAAGAAATTAAAAAATAGAAGATAAAAATATAAAACAATATACAAGTTCATAATAAAAATATAGATGTCTATTTATAAAATAATAAGAAGTTATTTATATTTTGTGGTAAATTAAATATATATAAAATATAATGAAAATAAATTATTTTTAAATACATAATATGTAGTATAAAAATGACAAATGTAATAGCTATTTTCGCATAATAGTTTTTATATAGTATATTTTTTTATGGTGTATATAATTAGTATGAACTATAGTATATAATTCTAGAATAAAATAATACGAAGTATATATACATATATGCATGTGTGTGTGTAATTTTACATATAACCTAAAACATATTAAAAATATTAAAAAATATCAAATGAAAAATAAAACTCTAAAATATAAATATAATATATAAATTGTAAAATAGAAAAAATAAAAAATGTTTTATATTACCGATAATTACATATAATACACAAAAAACATATTTAATTTTAATTTGTAAAAAAATGTATGTATTGTTTACTTATTTTTTTAAATAGATTTAAAATATCAAAATAGTTTTAATGAAATTATTTTGGTTTATTTTTATGCGTTTACCGCGAATATGAACAAATCCTTATTATATTATTTGATAGGATGTTTATATTTTATACATTTGACTTTATCTTATTTTATACATGGATTTGCTATTTTTTTAGTTTTTGTTTTTCAATTCTTACTCTTTTTAAAGGTTGAGGGGGCAAATTGAACAAATTTGTCGGGTTCAGGGGCCTATTTGACCCTTTAAATTGCCGCGTGGGATGCACGGTTGACATCTGACTGGGTGACGTGGCGGTGACCGGACGTTTACTTGTAAGAAGTGAGATTTGAACTTTTTTGTTGAGTTCAGGGGGTGAATTGGAGCTTTTTAGAGTTCAGGGTGCGAATTGAGCATTCTGGTCGGGAACAGGGGCCTATTTGACCCTTTCCTTTTTACTTTTATGTGCATATGTAACTTTTTCATGCATTTGGATGAAAGTAGATTGCTCTGGCTTTGATTCCAAAAATGAAATAAACCCTTCCCTAACTAAACACGAATCTTTCAATTCATTTGGCTCTCAAGCATATCATCATTCTCTTCACTTGCAGTCCAAGTAAATTAAGAACAACTTCTTAATACCTATACATAAAAATATACTCCGTATATTGTATCGCAATTTTAATCTATAAAAAAAATATGATTTCAACAAATATTCTTGCTGTTCAGCAATATATGCAGGAAGAAGTGACGATTCTAACCTACGGGTGCAATGTTTTCGAGCTGCAGTGCCTCGCTAGACTTACTCGTGTAGGGCTTTTATGTGCGGCGAAATTGCTTTGCCGGGCGGAAGAGAACGAGGAGACACCAGGGTGCGGAACTGCGGATGATTTGGGAAGCGAATCGTCTATTGATGGAGGGAGAAAGGAGACAAAAGAAGGGGTTTAACATCAACATTCAACAGATTTTTTCCTTTAAACTACAATGTAATTTTTAAACATTCAAAAATCAGAAATACTGAAAACACAAGGATTCCTAAAAATACAATGTAATTTTTTTAAAAAAAAACATCAATTTTTTCCTTTATTTTAGGGAAATTGAAAATAATAATCTCAACTATTGTCGGTCTGCCATTAATAATTTCAACTATCGATTATCCTGTATGGTTCCAGCTATAGAGACCATTTTCCAAAAATGGTCTCTAACATGTTACAATCTGGTATAGCAGGTTATTTTTAAATGTGAACTGTGTGCAAGCTTTAAATGATCTCAATTATACGTTACCATTTTATTAATCTCAACTATCAACTCTCAATAAATTTTTTGAAGATGTAAAAATATTTTTATAAATTTCCAAAATAAATATTTTTCAACATGAAAAAATTAATTACGAATACTCTTCAAATGTACCGAAATTAAATAAAAAAAACTTAGTCATTTTTTATTCATTTTACTAAAATTTCATTTTTTTTTTCCTTTTTCCAATTTATTTTTCACAGTTATGTTACCAATTTATAATTTAGTATTACTTTCTTTTACTCAAATTTACATTTTCTATTTTCAAAAAGTAAATTGTGATTAAATTTTTTACAATTTAGATCTTTATTCTAGCTTAATCTAAGAATCTAAATTTTTTATTTATTCCATTTTAGTATTTTTAATTTCTACCAATGTAACCATGTGAATAGCCTGAAATGACGATAAAAAATGTTTACCAAAAGTCCCCATGTTTTCTACCTGCCAAAATAATTGGGATTATTAGTTATTACTTTTTCTACATGTTTATGATTCCCATTATCACTTAAAATTTTAATATTAATAAATTTTCATTAAATATAGTTAAATCCTCCAAAACCTATACTAAAATTATAGAATATTAAATGATAAAGTATTAATATAATAATATAAAATAAAGAAAATAGAAAGAAACTAGAAATACTAAAATCCAAAAATAGAACATTTAGGTCTTTAGAATTAAGATAGCATAAATAAATAAATAAAGTTTTGATCATTATTTACTCTTTGAAAACAGTTTAATTTTGAATAAAGGAAAATAATACAAAACGATAAACTGGTAACACAACTGGAAAAAACAAACTGGAAAAAGGATAAACAATTAGTGGAAATAAATCAAAAAATGACTAAAAATATATATAACTTCGGTACACTTGTATAATTTTTGTCATTGTTTATACATGTTTAAAAATATTTAGTTTCGAAATTTATAAAAATATTTTTACATCTTCTAAAAATTGAAAGTTGATAGTTGAGATTAATAAAAAAAAAGGTCAACTATAGTTGGGATTATTTAAAGCTTACACTATATAGTTCACATTTAAAAATGACATACTATATCAGGTTGTAACAGGTCAGAGACCATTTTTGGAAAATGGTCTCTATAGTTGGGACCACCCAAGAATAATAGATAGTTGGGGTTATTAATGGCGGACCGATAATAGTTGAGATTGTTATTTTCAAATTTTTCTTTATTTTAATATATCCTGATTTTGGAATGAAAAAAGGCTATGTAGTACTGCATATATTTTAGTGTAATTACCCTCGCCGCTTGCACCGGAAGTATGGCTTGCTGCTCACTGACTTTTCCTAATCGATGAGACTCATGCGACCATCGCACGCAGGTCATATTGGAACTCCTGATGACCAGATTGGAGCTTACTAGCCTAATCTTAATATTCAATAGTAAAAACATGAAACTCAATAAAGATGTTTTGATGCTCAAATGAGCTAATTTTTTATATTCAATTACAGAGTTCTGGTGTTCAATACACATTGTCTCTATCTCAATAGTAGATAACACGATACTGAATGAAGATGTTTTAATGCTCAAATAAGCTTTTGAAATTTTATATACTCAATTGCAGAGTTCTAATGTTCGATAGACGTAGTCTCGATGTTCAATAATACGTAGAGAATACGATACTCAATGTAGATGTTTTGATTCTCAAACGAGGTTTGGAATTTTTTTAATACTCAATTGCAGAGTTCCACTGTTTAATACACATAATCTTTTTGCTCAATAATAGTGAACACGATACTCAATGAAAATGTTCTAATGCTCAAATGATGTTTTGAAATTTTGTATACTCAATTGTAAAGTTTTAATGCTCAATAGATGTTTAATGCACAATGAAAATGTCTTGATATTCAAATAGTAGAGCTTACAATTTTCATATCAATGCGTATTTTAAAAGTATAATATTAAATTAGGTTCGCATATTGGAATTCATAAGAGTTGAATTTAAATATATGAAGCACAAATCATGATGCTCAATATTGTAATATTCCATAGAATATGTATGATGCTCAAATCAGATAATTGTCATATCCTTGCGTATTTAACTACAACTGGAAACTGGAAAATAGAACCTCTCCATGGCCTTATTTTAAGCCCTGAAGCCAGCTGTGCCATTTTATATTGGCATCGGCCTTGGGCCGTATAGAGTGAACAATTACTTTTCATTGTATGGGAGTAGCTAAAAAATAAAATTTTTTATTCTTATTTCATAAACGGGTACATTAATGCTCGATTAATAGAAGTCGTGATTTTCAATTAAATTTTTAAAAATGTCACTATTGTAAGATATAGGCATTGCTTGGCGCATCCCCTACTTACTTAGTTCAAAATTTTATTTTTTATTTTCATTCATTTTAGTTGTATTAATCCTAATGAGTAATTATCTTGGTAGAATTAGAATTCATTAATAAGCAAGACTTTGATTGTGATTGAGAAACTAATTTAGAACTGCTATAAATGGTCTCAAAAATTTAACCATTCGTTCATAGAAGAAAATCACATGAATACCAAAGACTCGTGGTATAACAGGCTAAAATTGATTTCACGAAGTTTCAAACTCAAGACCTCCCTTAGGAGTTGGGACATCCTCATCCATATGTTTATTTAGGGATTACTTTTTAGATAATGTTTGAGATGTTGTAATTATTTGAAGAGATTATTTGATGAAAAAATCTCCTATCAAATTTTAAATTTGGATTACTTGAAGATTGCATACTCATAGTGGCTCCTACATAAGCTATATGAAACGTTAAAATTTGCATGTGCTATTCACCCGTCGAAGACTCGCTCCTCTCTCTATCAACTTTCAATTTCCAAACCCAATTTGAAAAATCAACCCTTTGTACATTAAAAATTCACAACCCAATTAAATTGGTTGCCACTATTAAAATATATAGTATTAGATTAGATACAATAATATGTAATAGTGTACGTAATAATATAGTGTATACATACTAATATATAGCATACGTAGTAATACATAATATAGGACACTTTTAATAGTGGTAATATATAATATAGGACACTTTTAATAGTGAGTGCATTTAAGTTAGAGATTTTGGAATTGAGTGTATGTCTCATAGAAAATCTATATGAATTAAGATGACGTTTGAAGGGAAATTAATTGGTTTGGATTTTATATGAGATTTTTTTTATGTAGAAGTAACATGACAAACACAAGGTATAAACATCCGTAAAATTAAAGATGCTCTTGTGAGAGAGTGAGTCAGTAATGAATGATATGGACCACTTCCTCTTCTCACAAAGCAATTTCATTTCCAAGGGAACTCGGCTATTTAGATCCACCATGTCTAGCGAAGCTTCTGGTCAGTGGCCACCAATGTCCTTAGTAGACACGAAGCGGCAGACATTCTCTATCTATTGCAAACATGGAAGGCCCGGCAGGGTGGCACCGCCTTTGACGTTACAGAGAGGGACATCTTATGGAGGCGCACAGCATTCTAGATGGCGTTACATAGAGCCCAAGTTTTGGAGAAAATGTGGAATCGATTGTCGACCCCTACAGAACAAGGGTTAATAAATGAAATATTTATGCCTGCATAATGCATAGCATAATCTTCTTTTAGCTCACGAAGACATCATTAAGTTAAGGATGATTTGAAGAGAAGCAAGACAGTCCTTGACCAAAACATTGGTGACATATGTATCTGCTTTACATTTGTAACACTTTGTTCTCATCCCCACTAATGTCGAGTTCCTAAAACCCTAAGCTTTTGCCCAGTCCATTTTGGATTTGCAACTCACTCAGTAGACTGCTGACTAAATATTACATGCTTCAACATGCAAACTTCAAAGTATGGTTTGTTTTTAGATTGTTGAATTGTTAGGTAAGACTATTGTGAGAATGCAAGTGCAAGTTGTGCTGTTTGTGATCAATTTCCCCTCTACATAAATAATTGGGACATAAAATGCAACGTAGTGGCATGCAATAAACATATATAGACACATATATAGTTATCATACAATATAAACTATATGATATCTCTTATATGTCAATAAGTGTCATCTCTGAATCCTCTGATACTGTCACATCCTCATCTAAGGATCAAACCTTGCAATCAAACACTTCATCGACATCAAAACTTGTGGTAGATCATCATCAACTCATGAAAAGCCGCACACTTTGAAAATTGAGAAACTTCTCACGCTGCTAAAAGGGTAACAGGTAACAAATATATTTCCGTTTATGGAATAGCTAGCAGCCTAGCAGTTGGTCCATAACAGCTTCCACATTAACACATATTGATGCAAAATAACTTCACCCGGGTTTGTTTATTTATATATACATGTTTTTTCCAGAATAAATCATACAAAAATATTACCACAGAAAATTGGAAAATTGTGAATTTCCTTACAGCTTCTTGATCTCTTGCTTCTGTTTCTCCACAAGTTTGTCGAGGGCAGCTTGCAGGGCGTCGTGACCCCCAATCAGCAAACGCGTGATAACTTCCGGGTCCCTTTCGAACCGGGCATCCTCGAATTCCTTTCGGGTATTCTCTCTAAGAATATCACGCCATAGAACACCTCGGGAGTCGGGCCACATAAAGAAACGGGTAGCCCGGATGATGTCCCGATAGAGACTCAGTGCCTCCCGCCGAGTTCCGGTGAGCCGCTGGGGAGTCATGATTTCGTTATCATCTAGACTATTCTTCTTCTCCTTGACAATGTGCCTATCGAGAAGCTCCTCAACAGTGTCTGGGCCGTGGTGTAATAGCCGAGGCAATCCGAATTCAACCGGTCGTGGCTTCCTCCCGAGATAAACTGCCATGGTTCGAAATATGTGGCAGATTCCAACCATGGTTCGCCAGTAACAACTGTCGAAGGCAACAAAAGTAAACAATAGGAGCTAGCAATCGCGTTACAACAACCGGTAGCAGGAAAAGAATTGAAATTCTACGACTTTGTCCTGTAACAATTACAAATGAAGCAAATACCATCAGTAATTCAGTATTTAGAAGACAGCAAGCTTTTCAATGCATAAAAGCACACTGGAGCAACATCACTAAAGGAAAAGCGCAAAGTGAAACTTTGAAACTTTGCGGTATAACACAATGACTGACACAAAAATAATCTACCACTCATAATAAAATGTAAATAAGTTTTAATGCTAATATCTCGGTACATAAATACTAACGTACACATTCTACAACTGTTTTCACTTGTCAGCACAAGTTTCTAACTCAAACTATCATAATTGACTGTTAAAAAATTGGGAAGCTTACATGATTGTGTGTGTAATTAGTATATACTACGTAGTATATATCGTACATTGTACTCGGTAAATAATTAAAAATATTGCCAAGTGCCAAACTGTACTGTGAGCTTTCTGGTTCAAGAAGCACGGAAAAAACTAAAGTGCCAGACATGTAATTGTGAAAGCCCAAAGCCAGACACAATTACATAAAATCTGCAAAATAAGAGAATAAATGAGTATTCAACTTCAAGACACATGTACACAAAGTCCTTATTTGGTCCAAATTCCTTATTCATTTATGTTCAAATTGTAACCACAAATCTACCTCAACTGTTTTATGCAATAAAAAGGAATGTTTCTCCAGTTACTTTATGTAGTATCATCAAATGACAAACTCAAAAATGAAACTCCATGTTTTCACCAAAAAAATCACATGCATTCTTTATGAAGGGATTGAAGGCAAACATGGCAAAAAATAAGGCAGGTTAACATTAGAAAAGTGACTTTTTTTTACTCTTTCTCATCCCTTTGGTCCAACTAAATAGGTGGTTGTTTTGGATAGTAAGGTAGCTGAAGCTGAATAAAGAAACACAAAAATGTAATTGACATAACAAGAATGATCTTGATTAACAAGGAATAGCGGTTATGATTCCATAATAATATCTCAAAACAAAAAAAATAAACCCAGCAAATGTGAGGCAAAAAATAATGAAGATCATCAATGAAAATCCATTCCCTCCATCTTCATTTCTAGAGAATCTCTTTATTCAATTCAAATGGTGATTCAAAACCCCTAATGAGGTGGAAGAGAATTGCATAGTGCCGCACCCTTAGATTTCCTTTGAGTGAAGGGTCAGTTTGGTCCTCGAAGTTGCAAAAAAGGCGTCAAATAAGTCCTTATATAGAAGATTCTGTCCGGACGTGCCATTTGAGCTGGCTCCCAGTGGAATTTTGTGATAAATTTGTTTGAGCATCTTATTCATTAAGTCTAGTTTACTCATACCAAATTTCAGCTAAAAATTCAATCGGGAAGACATTCAAATGAATTCTTGAAGATAATAGCGCTTTTAACGGCACAGTTATCTTCAAGAATTCATTTGAATGTCTTCTGGATTGAATTTTTATCTGAAATTTGGTATGAGTAAACTAGACTTAATGAATAAGATGCTAAAAAAATTTCATCAAAAAAATCCACCGGGAGCCACCTCAAATGGCACGTCCGGACAGAATCTTCTATATAAGGACTTATTTGACCCTTTTTTTGCAACTTCGAGTACCAAACTGACCCTTATCCCATTTTTTATTTACTTCTATGTGTATATGTGACTTCTTCATGCATTTGGAAGAAAGTAGATAGCTTTTGCTTTCACTTAAAAACTGAAATAAACCCTTCACAAACCAAACATGAATATTTCAACTCATTTGGCTCTCAAGCTCAATTCCTTAAAATCAAACTCAATCAAAATTCTCTTATGTATTTTGGGTAATTTATTAGTTCGGGCATGTTTAGTTTATCATTGGAACCGGGATACGAAAAGTTATTCTAGTAAAGCAGTCTGTATGGTGACTAATGAGGGTTTGCATCCCATTATTTTCTTCTTTGCTTTCTGCACTATTTAGTTCAAACCGTGCAAATAAATTGGTATTCAAAACATGAGAAATAAGTTATACACTTATTCAGATAATACATACTCCGTATTAACTTTTAGTTATTATGATCACATCAAAAACCATTGTCTAAAAGTATATATTGGGAGGAGCTGGGTTTTATTTTTGACCGTGAATAGATAAATTGGCCTCTTTTCATTTGTAATGTACATGTATGGAGAATATATAATTTATATTTTCTATCACACATTTAATCAAACTCTATCTGCAGTTCACGTAAATTAAGAAGAACAGCACAGGAAAATATTGATCTTAAAATCAACAAAAAATATGAAAATACGATTACCTCAAATCGTTCAAATTAAGATGGGTACGTCGCCTGAGGGGGTTAGAAGTCGCTGGCTAATTCAACTTTTAGACGAGCAGCGATTGTGAACTAATTCAACTTTTTCTTGAACAGTGCCGCGCGAGACTTACTCGCGTAGGGTTCTTAGTGCGGCGAGATTGCTTTGCCGATGGGAAGCAACGTCCGAGGAAGAGGAAGATCTGATTGTGGAGGCCGGAGGGTGCTTTGAATCGGTACAGCTACAAGAAAACAGATTGGGTTCAAGCTACATAAAGAGTTTGTATGATCCTTGGCTCAATGCAGTAGAATGGGGGAAGCTGATACGGAGTATAACTTACAAAGTTAATCAACAATGGAGGAATGAATGTTTTTTTTTTAAGAAATGGAGGAATAAATGTTGAAAATTGAATAAATAATAAATCTTCAAATGTTGAAAAAAAAGTATTTATACTTTAATAAATCTTCAAATGTTGAAAAGGGAGCAAGTACCTTATAGTCGAGTAAAAAAAGAACTTTGGTTTCACAGTCCTTTGAATTTTTTTTTTCCGTCTTCGGTATTACGAAGAAAGGCTAAGTTTCTCCTTGTGGATCTTCATCCACGGAAGTCCGCTTCCGCTGTTTGGTGGAGTCGAGCGAGGGTTCGTTGTTACTTCGGTGTTGATTTGCTGACTGTGAGGTCGGGCGAGAGCAGGGAAGACAGAGAAGAAGATGGTCGTGAGGGGTGATGTAGCTACGAGTGCGGGACGAGGAGTGTTGCAAGGACTTCGAGTAGGCCAGTTTGCGTTCGACAATGGAGGATCAATTAGCATGGTACCGGTGATACGACCTCCGCCTGAACCACCACCATGGGTTGTACAAGTGCTAGAGTCCGTGAAGGTTTTCCTAGTAATTTTTGCTTGTTTGTCATTTGTTTTCTTGTGTTCATCTTTGTTGTTGGTTTTGACAGTTTGTTTAAGTTTTTAGCCTCTCTTTATGTCATTAGCTATGTTTGGATCTATGTGAACAGGCTTGGTTGTGTCAAGCCCACTACATGGTTAACGATTCGTGTTGTTTGCTCTTTCAGGGGTGACCGTCTCAAAGTCTGATCATAGGGTTTACAGTCGTAGTTGTTGGGGTTTAATTGATGTCAGGTTTATTTTCCCTTTATTTGATGTAATGATCATGAATCTTTTGATATGAATAGAGACATGTTTTAATGATAAAAAATAGTTTAAGAAAGTAGACGGTTATAAAAATCTGCCGCTAAATTGAAAAATCTCAAAAAATAGTTTAAGAAAGTAGACGGTATAAAATTTGTCTAGATTGTAAGCATATTACAAAAAAAAAATCTCGTCTACCAAATAGAAAACTTGTAATTTGAGGGTTACCCAAAGAGAAATAACATAGATTTCAAGCATAACATGGATTGTAAATTTTTTTTCATCTCGCGAACAAAAACTTTTAAATTGAGTCTCACCATATAGAAAACTTAGCGGATTCACAATCTTATTCATTTGAAAATGAATTGTTTGTAATACTAGAAAGTCTATATTTTGCAAGGATGATTTAATGCTCAAATATTTTGTGTTATAGGTGTTACTACTAAAATTACAACTGTTTCTACATTTTACGAGATAATGTAATAGATATGTGTATTATGATACGATTAAACACTGAACATCTATTATATCTTACAAGAAAAAATAATTTTATTATTATTATTAATAATTGTGTAACATGTTTTTAACTAAAATTCAAAGATTTAATTGTTAATTAATATATTTTCAAAATTGTATTTGAATATAAATTATGATTTTTTCTTTTGTATCGAGGGGTCTCATTTTTTGACATGGCCCTATTTGTTTGAGTTGTTTCATTGCCATGACAATTGCAAAATTAAAGAGCATGGCATGACCGCATGAGTTGGCAGCACCATGCAGGGATAAAGTTGGCCTGGACAAATTGTGTTCTATCGAAGACAAGGGCACATTTGAATGATTTAATACAGAAAAGCGACTTAGAAATTAATAGCTAACAATCCTAACATTTGTGTCATTTTTGCTTTTGACTTAGAAACAAGGGTACTTTCTAAAAGTAGCCAAGTTTGTAACCTTCTATTAGTTCATCATTGCACTCTTTTATTAACTCTATGTCTCTCTAGGTCATCATCATCATCATTACCCCAGTGCCACAGAGGCTCGGTGGGATAAGGGGGTCAGATGAACGCAGTCTTATCCCTGTACTAAGGCATAAAGACATTGTTTCCAAATGACCTATAGTGAAAAACGCGTCAAAAATTGCATAGACTGATTGTTACTTAATAACAAAGAAGCGCAAACCGTTTAGTGAGCCATTTTGCTTTATTCCATCATATTCCCAAACCAAAAATAGTGAGTCTTTGGCTCCATTAAAAATGATGGAAAGTATGTCTCTGTCTAGTTATTTAAGTTTTTTTTAATAACCGACCTGAACTACCGGGAACATGCACCATTGTCCAGGACGGGTAGTAGTATAACCAAACTGATATCATACTTTTATTTAAAGTAGAAATCATAAAATACAAAAAATAATACCATATGGGGCAGGAACAGTTAGCCTGTTCGGTTTAAAATATACGGTTCAAAACCAACTCCTTATTGACTTTGCATATGCTGAACTGAACATGGAAAAATATACAACTAAGAACGAAAGAGAGAGCATGAGGGGGGAGGGGTAGACCCGTAGAGGGAAGAAAATAGATTATGTCACTTGGCACTTGACGTATAAGAATCTCCTCTATACAGACTTCTGTTGACTGTAACGTAGTATGCCGTAGACATCGACAATCCCAGGAGGGAAGACCGGATCTGTAGCTGCTCTTGTAGCTACTTTTGCCACGGCAGTGACATTAATGGGCGGAGACAGCAAAGGGCCAACAAGGGGTAACTGGCTCAATGGTTTTGCATGTTGGAGAACCTGCAAGATGAAAATGGGAAAGGATGAATGACTGGGGAGCAAAGAAAGGATCAAAGATGTGCACACTTTCTTCCACTTCATCTATTCTAGTCTGAACCTTTTGTCAACTTAACCCCAACTATTGATATGAAAATTATAGTTTGTACCCGATTTGGTCCTCAGGAGTAGTACTTATTTTTCCTTGACTTTCTTTTGAATTCAATTAGGTAGCTACAATACAGTTGAGAATCGATTTAGAAATTTCTTCACTTGGAGTCGAATTTTCCAGTCTGGCCTGTTTAAATCTGTCTAAAATTTGGTCTCTGACTTTATCAGTCCCAACTGAAACAATCCTTGGTCCCCATGCATATTTTGCTCTAATTATAGAGTTTGTACCCGATTTGGTCCTTATACTATATATTAATCTCTGCGTCCCCCAATTAAGTTCCTGGTTGAATTCCACACATTAAGGAAATAAATTTACTAGGGGGTAATTTTTTTGACACTGTTTAGACACTGTTTGGCACTATTTGGCACTGTTTGGCACTGTTTTGATGTAGATAATTTGCCAAATAAGGAAATGTATTGAAGTGGGAACTTAATTTAGGGGCTGCCCAAAATGGAAAGTGGGAACTTGATCGGGGGACAGAAGGAGTATTACTTCTTTTTCCTTGACATTCTGTTGAATTCAATTTGGTAGCTACTATGCAGTTTAGAATCGATTTAGAAATCTGTCTAAAGTTTGGTTTCAGACTTAAATCAGTCCCAAGTGAAACAATCCTTAGTTCTCATGCATATTTTGCTCTAATTCAGATATCAGAAGGATACATTAGTATATTGAAGACTGAATTTGCTCCAGATTACACAGTCAAAGGTCAATTTGGGTTCAAAATTTGGTAAACCCCTAACTGAAAAAATAAGCCTTTCTATCAAAACCAAATATGGTACAAATTTCGTTGTTGAGGACCACATTTAGGATAAGTGAAAATTAAGGGACAAGTTGAGTAAAAAATTTAGAAGAGAGACCACACTTGTATTAAATTGAAGAATTTCTAACCCGCACCACCACACCATGCCATTGCCTTGAGGCACTCACGTTCTCATACATAATAATGTAAATTAAAATATCTTGCCTTTGTGATTAAATTTGTATTTTATGCTCTGATGATTGAGTTCCAAAGGTAGACACTAAACTTTATACGTAGTATATTTTTTTCCATAGATAACAAGAAAAATTGAATAGTTTATGTAACCTAAAAAAGGGTTGTCATATCTAATGACTAATATTATAAGTTCTACACGTTTTCTGGCCCTGATTCAAGTGGAGGGGGCTTGCCCCTTGCCATCTCCTACAGAACTTCAAGTGCTCAGTTTTTTTAATTACATTTTTTTGGTGCATTAGGGAAGAGTGAGATTTCCATCATTTGGAATGGAGCCAAAGATTCATTGTTTTTCTAGCTTGGGAACATGATGAAATAAAGCAAAATGACTCACTTAACTGTCTGCACTGCTTTTATGAAGCAGTAGTCAGTCCATGCAAATTTTGCAAATTTTAACGCGATTCTCAGTGCTTTAGTACAACTGTAAATGGGTAAGGCTGCGTACATCCGAACCCCCTTACCTCATCGTAGGTGGGAGCCTTGCGGCACTAGGGTAATTTTGTTGTTGTTGTGTTGTATTTGGGTAGAGTGAGAGCTTGAGAATTGAGTGCCTAATATATAAGTGTGAACAAGTATTGTTGTATTTCATATACATGATATCTAAATAACTATACAAGAAGCTATATTTATAGCTATATTTAGAGTACTAGGGTTTCCTATACAAATGGGCTAAGCCCAATACTACTAGGGTTTCCACACTCCCCCTCAAGCTGGAGCATATAAATCATATGTACCAAGCTTGTTACAAATATATTCCACTCTAGGACCTCTAAGAGACTTAGTTAAAATATCTGCAAGTTGTTCGGTTGTGTCCACATATTTTGTGATGATATGTCCACTCGCGATCTTCTCTCGGATAAAATGGCAATCAACTTCAATATGTTTTGTCCTCTCATGATATACCGGATTCGATGCGATGTGCATTGCAGCTTGATTATCACACATGAGTTGAACCGGTTTTGTGTTCCCATATTTTAACTCTTGGGGGAGATGCTTCAACCATAAGATTTCACATGTAGCAAGGGCCATTGCACGATATTCTGCTTCAGCACTAGATCTGGCAACCACATCCTGTTTCTTACTTTTCCATGAAATTAAGTTTCCACCAATCAAGATGCAATACCCCGAAGTGGAACGTCTAACCATCGGACATCCGACCCAGTCTGCATCACAGTATCCCAAAATATCATGGTGGCCTCGATCTTCAAACAACAATCCTTGCCCTGGAGTTTTCTTGATGTATCTCAAAACTCGGATAGCTGCATCCCAGTGTCCAGTACATGGCTTATCAAGAAACTGACTAAGAACACTTACCGCAAATGA